TTATGAACAATATTAAATGGGTCTACATAATAAAAATATGAATTTTAATAGTATATTTTAAAAAAATAGGCTGATAGAAAAAACAAACTTACCTAGTGAGAGAAAATCAGTATCAAAGAAATTGTTTTTTCTTGTCAGTATTTACATAACAAAGGAAAAATTATTATTATTTGAAGCTACTTAACATTTGTATCTCTGAACTCAAGTCGACGCATTCTTTTCGATATAAGAATATACTGTGAAGCAATAAAATATACTACAGGGAGTAAAAAAAATAGTATAACGAATTTTGTTTGGTTATAATAAAAGAAGAAATAAGAAAGTCATATTGCCTCAACTAAAGACAGGTTGGTTACAATTTCAAGTCTTTACTTTAGGGAACGAAGTTTCTTATAAAAGTTGTATGGTCCTTTGAGAGTTTCAAGAATTTATTTTTAGAAAAAAACAATTGGTCATCACGTCTATGACTTCTAGATATAAATTCTAGATGGGTCAATGTCATGGGCTTAGCTCAGTAGTAGTTTTTTAGATAAGAATTTAAGAATTAGCTCTTTTAAAGTATACTTTATACATCCACATCTCGACCGCCTTTGACCGTAGAAGGCCCTGATGTAATTCTTTCTTTTAGCCCAGTAAGGATAAATTAGATTTAACATTTAAAATAAGGGATATACTTTTATTATTAATATTATATACATAAATATCATGTACATAAGGGAGGGGGTAATTCTTTGGCTTATTTCATGACTAAAAGTTCAGATAAACATAGGTCCGCAAACGCTTCGTTACCGATCTACGGGGTGTTGAAATTTTAAGGATTGTTTTCTCTATAGCTCCCACAGTTTTTGAGATATTTAGCTCAAATTTGGAATATTACGTTATAGGGCTTACATCATTGGACATGCCAAATGGTCGTGATATTCTACAGAGTGATATTTTTTCGGGGTTCATGTCCCATTTTCTTCTCCTGAACTTTTGTGCGGTGCGCGGCTGGTAGATTTTAAAATTAAAATTGGATTTTATGTTTTGTTCAGTAACTTTTTTGCGTCCTCTGATTTTTTCGTATCTGCGACCGTTATCGAGAAAGAAAATAAAAAACGATTTTATGTAATTCGTTAGATGAAATTTAAATTGTAAAAATAGCCCAGTAGGCTCTGGCTTTATTTAGATAATCTCTTGTTTCTATTAATTTTGACAATTTATTCGCCACTACCTGTTAAAAATTAAAGCTGGGATGACCCATTTCAAAATTCGTAAAATTAAAAAAATTTAAAACACTTTTACACCTTACAGCTTGTAACATAAACCTTTAATTTTTAAACATATGCAAACCTAAGTTACTATTTCAAATGCGAACTGTCAACTGTCAACTATTCGAGGATTTGACCTAGACATGGACAGGTAATTTTTGGCTGTATTCTAAGAACTCCTTAGCAAATTAACAGCTATTTGTTTTATACCACCGTTTCATAAATTCTTTGTGGATCTAGGATCTAGAACAAATTCCACATCCTGCACCTTCCTTCCTTTTTGATCCGTCTGTGAAGACGTTTATTACACCTTCGTGGGCGCGGCGGTCTCCTCCTGTCTTCTAATGAGTACGTAGGGTCTGTTGAGCGCAAACCGGAGAGAGATACTGTCTGTGTCTGCCTGCAGAAGCGGTATTTTCCTGACGACCCCATTCTATAAGCGACTTCTAACTTCTCCACATCCTACATTACAATGCAATTTACAATTGCTATGGTGGGTGTTGCTTGCATAGTTGCAGTTATGCTCAGACAGGCAATTCTTAGTACTTGGCTGAATTTTTTTTAGCTATCGTCTGCTGGACTTTCGGCCACCAGACGACAGCCCCGTAGGCTAGCTAACATTGATCTTACAATGGCAGTTTATATTCACATAACTACTTTTGATTTTATTCCCCAGGTTTTACCAATGGTTCTGCGACACTGCTCATAGGATATGTGCGCATTTTTTAATCTCTTTTGAAAATGAAGATGAAGATCCCAGCTTCGCATCGAGTATGACCCCTAGGTATTTCACATCCGATGCAAAGCTTAGCATAGCGTTTAGAAGAGTTGGCCCCAGTTTTCTCTTTCTCGTGAAGTACCTGTTTTAGCGGAACAACTCTCCCTGTTTTATATTCCTGTTTTACGGGAGGAACTGTGCTATATGGGCTTCTCTTGAGGTATTGTGCGAATATCTAAAACATACACGAAAGTCCTCCACACTACGACACTGCATGTTTGTGAAACGTTTAAACTCAAATTCTTCCATATCTAGGACACAATTTTTGGTCGTGGTTGACTTTAGATGTTAGTAATTTATGAACTAAGATGAAGATAAAATTATAAAATCAAATCTTAAAAACAAGACAAACACAGGAGTATAATATATTCGCTATTATAATCAGATACAAAGTATTACGAAATTAAGGGTCTTAAGACATAACTAAATTTGTAATAGAAAAGTCTTATACGAAAAGGTTCTATTTTTGCATTTTACTTTCGTAAAGTAAAGTTCGATTATGGATCAAACTATTTTTTCTGCACAGGACTAAAATGTTCAATCCATCGCTTAGGAAACATTTCACATCGTCCAATAATGCAGGCAACCGGTTTCCCAAAAAGTCAGCATATGTTCTTCCATTTAATCGGCCTTCAAAGAAATAGGGTCCCACAAGTACATCGCCTATTATGCCAGCCCAAACATTTACCGAGAACCGATGTTGAAAATGAGTTTCCCTAATCGCGTCAGGATTTTCATATTCCCATGTGTGCATATTATGGAAATTCACTTCATTACGGGTAAATGTCGCCTCATCTGTTACATAAGTATAAGCACGAAAGTCTACTTGATTGGCACATTGCCGTAACAACCATCTGCAAAAACGCATTCGTTGATAACAATCAACAGCTGGCGCTTTTAGATGCGATGTACGGTACGAGATGAGGTTCTTACTTGCTGTGCGAGTCGTCAAGTACTAATTGTGGGGTCTTCGTCAAGATTTTCGAACAGTGCATCTTCCACATTGAGGTTTACTTGCTGACCACGTGCTTCATCTCGAGGAAAAACACTTCCCGTATCTCGCAGCCGCTGAACGCACTGTAACATTGTATTTGCACAGGGGGGTGACGCTGTGGCCATCGTTCCCGGTACAACCTAACTAACACCATATCGACACGTTCGGAAATAGTAAATGCATTGTTTTCTCGGTTCATTGTAAAACTAGTTTGTGCACAAACTAAACAATTAAGCAAAGTAAGAAATAAGAATCTCGTTTTTAATCTAATCGGCACGCTATTCTTAATTTTTACTTCTTTATAAAAATTACATTGTCACTATCGTGGAATTACAAAATGAAATCTTTTGTCTGGAATCTTTCACTTTTTAACACTGACGGGGGTCGATGGACGATACTTAATATTTAATAATTAAGTGAATGATGAAATTCAATACAAATACAAAATCAGTTGACTGCACAAATTTTTTAACAATATAACCTAACCTTCTTTTAGTATTGCTAGTATTAGATTATACCGACTTAAATTATAAGGTTGCATCTCGGGTCGCATAAAAACATTTCCAAAGTTTTTAATAAATAACACTGGGTCGGCCCTCATTTTCGTTGAATAAATGAACTTTAATTTACAAAAAATAAAACGCGAGGACAGAACTTTTTCGTATAAGACTTTTCTATTACAAATATCGTTAGGAAGCTGTAGTTTAATTTTTATAGATTATACACGCCACACCCTGTATAGCTACTTTTTCAAAAGATTTATAAAAATGACCACGCCATGCGTGTGTTATATTACAGTTATGTGAACAAAATATAACTTTAAGGAAATAATCTATTAAAAGTAACAACTTGTCGTTTCCTTGTAAGCATTTTATTAATTAGCTAGATTTTCTCAATTTTTTATATACTTAATAATACAATTTGCAGAGGATAACGACAAAAGAAAACCCAAAATAATTGATGTTCGTTTAATTCAAATAAGTATACTGCAAAAGGCTACAAGTAGGTATATTAAAGTGCATTTACATTTTTTTTTTCAGCATTTTGGTGCAGTTAGTGATTTTACTATACTTTGATGGTACCACTAACTTAAATTACTTCAAAAAATGTTTCTAAAAATGTCATCAACTGAAGTCATATAAGTCAGAACAGCAATTTTTTGAAAATTTATATTTACGATTTCAATATGTCGTATTTTTTTTTGTCAAAAATGTATATGTAAAGAGATCATTTTCAATTTTTATTTTATATAATTGTCTAATTAAATATATTTTACATAGCTAGACTTTGGCATCAAAGAAATTGTACGTTTTTAGATACATCTTTGGAATTTATTTAAATTAGTTAGTAATATGAAAAATGTTAGAAATAAATAAATCCATGTGTCGATCTGCCCGGGTTTCGAATCCTGCGGCCGGTAGACCGTAGATTAGCTATGCTTGTACGGAGGATTGGCACCCTCTGTGCAGGTAGGGTGGAAGAATGTTGGCTTGGGTTAATGTGAGAGATTGACACCGGTTGGCATTTGACCACCCCCCTAATTAATGAGGTTTTCCAGGTTTCCCTCATTCCTGCACTGAATGGTGGTTAGGGCCTACCAACATAAGCCGTTCCTGGGCGCAAATGCGGCCTGCTTAATAATAATATGCCGCCTCCTCTCCCGCACATGTCTCCGACTTCTGGGCTAATTCTCGTAGTTACCATGAGGAGTAGAGATATTATTATTATTACAACAATACATTTCTGGGAACAGAACTGTGAGGTTGTTTTGCAACGTTGTCTTTCTTCTTAAATTAGTATTTCAAAGAAATTGTATAAAATATATCCACCCAATCGTCAGTATCAATCAAAATATTCCTCCCACCATTTCCCTATTTTCAACGGAACAAGCTGTACAAAATAACAATGAAACTTTCAGGTGTACCCTAATGTGTTGCTCTGAGTGTCCTGTGAAGAATTAATCGATCAGTTCTTTGGCTTATGTAACTTTTTGTAGAAAGGCGTAAAAGGTGTAAGCACTTTTTACCATCTGAAAATAAAATTATGAATAAGTATACAGATTTCTCTTATCTCCTGATGCGGCAAATATAAATTATTATCTGTAGTTATCCTTATATTTAGTTTTTATGTTGCTCATTAATATATAAAGATGTCAGTTTAAATGTTGAAAAAAATTTTCAAGAAAGGTATATTCAAATAACCGCCTACTTGTATATCCTAATTTATCTGAATTCCGAAGTTATTTCACCTAAAGTTTACAAGGAGTTGATTGAATATGTTTTCACATATTAAACATTTTAACTTTTCTCATTTATGTCAGCATTTCTATTAATACTGATTAATTTCATTCAAATATAATAATAATTATACAGAATGTTACAAAACGTAATTCAAGCGGCAATTTGCTTTTGAATAACTTTTCTTTTAAAAATAAGATTGTACAACAATGCACGGCCCAATTCCCAATTGTGCTAGCTTGTCCAGCGGCGGAATAAGAAAAAGGGATTAAAAAAATTAATTTGAAAAAATAAACTATTGATACATATTTCTAAAGGTCAAAGGAAGCCTCTGTATAAATATGACCCCCTCTCAAAGTTACACCTTGTATTCAGAATCCCACATTTGAGATGTTTTACTTACCAGTAGAACTGTTGCGTTATTAATAATGTGATAGTTACCAGCTCTTATACAAACGCTTCTCTGACTGCGGATAATCACAATAAAAAAATCTTTCCAGATATGTTGTAATTTCGATGAGTACCATTTGCACTCAGAATATACGGTGTCTGCGATTGCTGCTGACTGAGAAACAATTACATTTTAAGTAACTTTTTGTAATTTATTTACAGCATTTGTTTAATACCTCGTCCATTAATAACTGCGCAGGGAGGCCATATACCATAAAAAATTCGGCAACCATGGTGAAGATGATTACGAACATCCTCACTTTGTCAGATATAGATCCTTGGCTGGAAATGGTTTCAAGGTTAATCATTTAGGTATGCAAAACAAAGAATTTCCAGTGTGCCAAATCATGTGTCAAGAAAATTATTTATAATTAGGACAGAATCTTTTAATTTCATATTATATCTCAAAATGCGATGGATTCTGTTTTAAAAAAATTAACCTTATATTAATGAAAATACTAAACGACTGATAAATCTATATATCTATTTTTTATGAACATTTTTTTTGCAGACATTTTCTCTCTATCTCTTCTCCTTAAAAAGTTACAATAACAAACATACAAAAATATATTCTATTGTATTGGAACTAGTCATGACTTAATCAACATTACTGCGAAAAACAATCGCTGTAACTCCTGTCACAAATTTGTTCACATATTAGTTGCTATGTCCTTAAAAAAGGTCATTCCTTGAAGAAGAATAGAACAATACACATAATGACGGTTAAATAGGATAACCAAATATAGAAAATATTAAACAATTTTAATTGTAACTAATAAATATAACAATAATTAATAACAAAACACATAACAAAATATTAAATTATGAGTATTATTTTAAACATTTTTCGATATGCGTGCCTCCTACTTCTAAGCATTTATCCAGTCTTTTCTTTTTCTTTTCTCCAAATTTCTCGTATGTGTCATATTGAGTTTCAATGTTCCCCATACAAAATAGTCTAGGAGCGTTAAGTCTGGAGACTTTCAAGCCCATTCTACAGATCCTTTCATTCCAATCCACTTAGTTCCGAAAGTATTTTTAAATAGTCTGTAACTCTTTTAGGTTTATGTGGAGGAGCACCATCGTGTTGCAGCTACATATTCAACGTGAGCTGCAGCGGCACATGTTCAAGTAGTGCTGGAAGCTCCTCTTGCAAAAACTGTAAATAGCTATTAGCATTCAAAACATTTTCATAAAAGTATGGGTCAATTAAATGCATTCCAATAATGCCATACCAAACATTTATTCCATAATGGCCCTGATTTTGAATGGGATTAACATAGTGTGGATTTTCAGTGAACCAGTAATGTTCGTTTCTTTTATTTGGCTTGCCAAAACTTATAAAACGTCTCTCATCGGTCCGAAGAATGTGTTGTAAGAGTCTATTATTACTTCCAAATTAACCATTATTTGGACTACATAATTAAGTCTTTTTTCAGCATGTATGTCACATAAGTGCTCCAAGTTATTTAGCGTATAGTCATGGTAACCATTGGAGCTCAAAATTCTTTGCAGAGAGCTTCTTTTTAAATTTAATGCAAAACTGGCCTGTCGTATAGAATTTCTAGGATTTTCCTCAAAATATTGTAATAACCTAGGTATATTGTTACATACTGATTTTGAAATTCCATTCCCTTTTCTTTATGAAAATGCATTTTCATTAGCACGCAAAATTCGTTCTAATCTAGCAAATATTTTTGAGTTAACAGCTTGACGCTCTGGATATCTCTCATAATACAAGTTAGCAGCTCTTCCGGCATTTTTTGACATTCACTATGAATTGAAACATGCCACCTTTTACATTGTTTGTGAACATTTTTAAATTTTTAGTAACCACTTACTAGTTTATTTATCATGCAAGAAATAGCGTTTGTCAGAAACTAATATGTAAACAGACTTGTGACAGCAGTTTCTGCCATTGTTTTCACATCACTGTTGATTAACTAATGACTAATTTCAATAGAATAGGATACATTTTTGTATAATGCTTGTTATTGAAACTTTTAAGGAGTAGAGATAGAGAAAAAATTTCTGCACAAAAAATGTTCATAAAAAATAGATAATTTTAGTTATCATAAAAAATTGGGTATGTTCATGGAAAAAAAGTTGATGACGTCATTTTTTTATTTTCTGAATTTTGAAAAAAATGTTTTTCAAGTGTAAAACGGATCTTAGCGAGTCCCGATTTACGCCATCTAAACAGATTTTACTATCGTTTTTCGTTTGTCTGTTATGACGCGAACTTTGGGACACCCTATACATAACTCAAACTTCACTCACTACAAATAATTAATTTAGAAAAAGAAACTGACAGCTGAAAATATAAAAATAAGTAAATCCTTCTCAAATTACATAGTAAAAACATTAATTCTAATATAAACAAAAAAATGTAACACACAAATTAAGAATATTGAATTTGCAATGCAAAATATATTGTATTTTCAAATTTAAACAAAAAATAATAATAATAATTTTCCTTTCCTCTCTTTTCCATTTAAAGAATTAATTTTTATTTAATTTAATTTTTTATTATTATTTTTTTATTAAAATTAGATTAAATTTAAACAAAAAATTTTTTTTTGTTTAAATTACTATGAAATTGACCAAAGTGGGATTAATTCAAGAGCGATTTTCTCAGAAACCGTTAAAGATAACGATTTGAAACAAGAGTACCTTTTTAACGTAAAACAGTTCGGGAAAACGGAATTTGCTGTCCAATTTGTTAAAAAGTCAAAGATGAAAAAGTTACACACGCAAAGTACCAAGGGCCCCCCCGTACCCACCCCAATGGACCTTGTGGAAATAAATGGATTAGTCCATCAAATTGCTCATCAAAATTTAGCTGTGTATACCAAATTTCATTCATTTATCACAACGCGATTGAGAGATATTGCAAAAAAATGATTTCCATTCCTCCCTCTTCAATGGGTCCCTGTGCCCTTAGGAAGCATTTCCGGACCCATGTTCATATGAACTTTTTTACTTAGCTTTGGTCATAGAATCGGCCTGTTCAGGGTTGGCAGCTAATTATGAGACACCCTGTATAAACAGAGTTTGAGAGTTCTATCTAATATGGACAACATTATTAAGTTGATCTTCAGGATAAGCAAGTTACGTTATGCGTAGATACCAGCGTGAAAGCAATGGTTTTCAAGAAGTTTTCTGTTTTATGTTCTTTTTAATTGCTAATAAATATGTACTAATTTAAGATTCTTTCTGCTTTTTACGGCAATGATGTAACTTCATATTATGTAACGTTTGACAAGGTAACTTCATTATAGAACTAAAAACAATTATTTCAAAAATAGTACTTACTTCATTGTTATGTTATACATACTTATACACATCAGGGAAACATTAGTGACCATTAACAGTGCAATTGGCACACCTAGCAATTTATTCAAGTCGTCGACACACCTGAAAGAATACACAGTTACATCTTTTCTATTTCTTGTATTTTCATCTCATCGGGTACAAATATGCCGAAGCACTGCTCCATGCATCAAGCAATGCTTCACTGGCTTATTGATTGTAAATGTCTCCCCTTACCTTAACTAACTTAAGTTTATAACCAGTTCTCATTTCAGCGTATTTCTACCATTAACACCCTTGGCAGACAAGAGTTTTTTTATGATAAGTGATATACAGGGCGATTAATTAATATTGTGGAAAAATTCAGGTGGAGATTCCTTGTAAAAAATAAGAAAAATTATCCTATAAACATGTGTCCGGATATGTTTTCTATTCGAGATGCAGGATGTGTCACATTTTCTAAAATATTTCTGAAGACGTTTATCGTAGTTAAAGTAGTTATGCGGTTTGAAATAACCCCTTATCTAATTAAACATCAATTGAACTTAGATATAAAAAATGTTATAGATATTAATGTGTAAAGATACAGAAGGTGACTACCTCTAGGGACTCCAGAAATATGACGTCACTAGGGATTTTAGAAATTTGATTGTATTTCTAAAAGAAAAGATATGTTCCATTTTTTTTTTGAAAAGCAGACAATTTTCAAGTTATTATTATTAACTTCTATTACTGGTATATGACACTGCGATACTTAAAACAACTTTATATTACTTGTTTTACAAAAAATGTTCATAAGATTTTTTTTGGTATCGTCCGAAAGTATGAGCATACAACGAGAGTCAAATTCACTTTGCTGCGAGGCTCTCTCTATGTTTTTTAGGTTAGGTTCCACATCATCAGCATAGGAATTGTAAACTAGATGTCAGACAGCTGAGAAGCAGGTGGTTTTCCTGGGAGCACTAAATGACATCACAAAGCGTTCTTGATCACGAGACCGAATTCCCAGCAATGTTAGGAGTATTGTATGTGAGGTAAAATATCTTGTGCATACCTACATATTTGGTATTGTAGAACATTGCTTGACTTCATTAGATTTCTAAAATACTTAAATTCAATTTATCACTTAATTACTTTCGGGAGCTCCGCCACTGAATAAAACATCGTTCTACGTTAATTATCTTAAGAAATATTTAAGAAAATGTATATATTTTTTTATATATCTATCTCAAAAATAAAGCGTTTTCGGACACTTGTTTATAGGAACTTTATATTCTTATTTTTATAAGAAACCAGCATTTGAATTTTTTTGTAGCATTAATGAATCGTCGTATACAGTATAATTTTTTAAAACCTGACATAGGTTAACTTTTTTATTTGAAGTGATAGACTAGTACTTCCAAATGCAAAGTTGTAGGAAATAACTTGACTAAGAAAAATTTCCGGCGTTGCCAGATATCTTCAGTAGCTACTAAAGCAATATTTTTTTAAATGGCTTCACTGTATTTTTTTAACACAATTTGAAAAGTCATCAAATTCTAAATAAAAAATGTTAAGTCACATTTCTTTATTGGAGTAGCCGTTTTAGAAGTCAGCAAAAACAACGAAAATAATCTGCAGTCGGCAGGAATTAAAAGAAGCTAACATAGCAATAGTAGGCCTTGCAGGAAATTAAACAAAAATTCTGTTGTTTGAAAGGAGTCATCATTATTGTGCTATTGTGGTATTTGACAGCTGTTGTATTTGAATGTGTATAAAAATGACGTTTTAACTCAGTTGCCAAGATGAATCAGTGTTTAATCCAAAAGAGAAAGTTGAATTAATTTTTCTTCATATTGGTGGCTTAAATCTACGTAATACTGAATTCGGTGTAAGACATAGCGATAAGCCTTTTCCAAATCCAGAGTTTTTAAGACATAACTTAGTAAAACAAAAACAATTAGTAGTGTGTGCCCAAAAATTCGCAAAAGGCTCAAAATCATCTTAGCAACTGAATTAAAACGTTATTTTTATACACATTTAAATAAACAGCTGTCAAATAACACAATGACAGCACAATAATGATGGCTCCTTTCAAGCAACACAATTTTGTTTAATTTCCAAGGCTTACTATTGCTTTGTTAACTTATTTTAACTCCTGCCGACTACAGATTACTTTCGTTGTTTGTTGTTGATTGTTCTAAAATGGGTAGGTACTCCAATAAAAAAATGTGACATAACATTTTTAATTTAGAATTTGAAGATTTGTCAAATTATGTTAAAAAAGTATGGTGTTGCCATTTAAAAAAATATTGTTTTAGTTGCTATTGAAGAAGTATGACAACACCGGTTAGATTTATTTTCAAATTTTTCTTAATCAAGTTATTTCCTGCAACTTTGCATTTGTATATACCTAATAGTCTATCACTTTAAATAAAAAAAGTTGGCTTATGTCAGGTTTAAAAAAAATTACACTGTATATAGTATTTTGACATAGTTCGAGCATTAACATTTTTATTTTTAAGAATTACTCAATCTCAAGCTAAAATGTGCATCAACTTTGTCACGTTTACAATTAACAATTTACAATGTTACAACAAAAAATATATTTTGATTTCATTTCAATTTTAAAAGACAATAGGACATCGCAAAATGTTTTATAAATGCTTTTATTTTGCTTACCCAAAATTCACAATTGTTCAAAAAGTTTCAAAATATAAATCTGTGTGTACTATTAAAAATTCATTTAGTGGGTATATTGCCACCAATTTAAAAAAAAATAGTTGTGTCAAGATCAGTTACGGGTTATTTTTATGAAAATAGTTTTGCATAATCAAAAGTTTAATCCTGAAAAATCAGACAAATACAAAATACACATCACTGTATATCACATTCGAAAATTTATATCTACAATAAAAACTTGATATGTTCCTGACTTATCAGAAAAACTAAGAACAATAACAAGTTTAACATTACAACATTAGAACTATTATTTTACGGACCTTTTTGTAAAAGACGCGTCCAAATAATGATGTTCAAAATTAATAAAACTGCATTTATAGCATGCAGCGTTGTGAGTATAGTAAACATTATCTTGGAGAGATCTCTTGATCTGTAAAAATTAGAATAGACGAGAAGTACTGTGTATCTTGTATTTCGTATTTGTGTGCCTCTCCAAGTGTGAGATTTTTGGTTAGATAAAACTATTTCCACTAACCATTGATTGATTGATTATTATTTATTCGGTTTTATCACCTCATATTTAAAAGAATTTAAAAACCACAGAAGAATATTTCTATGAATCACCGACCATTTCCGATCATTTCCCTTTTTCATATTTTGAATTTAGTTGACACATTTATATTACCTAACCTCTTAAGGAACATATACTGACCTCATAAGAAACTGTTGATGTTGAATCATGGACCTTAAATTTCGTACATACACATCAACATCCTGGTCACTTTCTACCTCCCCAAAATTAAGATCCTTAATCTTTAAATTCGTCAGTCTGAACTGCACCGTAACGAAAACTATGAGAAAACATACAAGTATGTTGAAACAAGTAAATACAAATGAACAAATGAGAAGAACATAAAATTCGACAAGATAAAATAACGGAAAAGGTACATGTGGGGGTATGTAGCAGTTGAATATAGACGAAGCTTTCGAAATGAATGGTCCCACTGCGTATATGACTATGGCAAAAATGAAGATATATTTATAAATTTTTTCAACTCCCTTGAAGTGTCGGATTAAATAAGTTACTTGCTCGTCTACAGCATTGACTTTCCAGAAGAGTTCCATGGCCTCTAAGATTCGTTTTATTGTTTTCCTGCCGAATGCAAGTGTCAAATATTTCACAATGACCTAAAACAGAGTATTATTATTAAATTTTAAATGAATACACCTTTTTGGCTACTGGTATTGATACTTACTATATTAAGAGCACTTATTGCTTCTACAATTTCCAGATCTCTATCAAGATAACACTTGAAAATAGCCAGCGACATAATACACGCTGTTAATAGGTTGCTGAAAGTAACACGTAATTTGTTCATGGTATAATAAGGATGTACCCCGAGGAGAAACAGTATTTTAAAGCAGAAACTGTTCTCCATACTTGCAGCGTCTGCTGTAATAAAAAAAAACTAAATGGTAATCGCAAACGATCCGTAGATTATGAGGATTGTCTAATGGATGATCAAACATTTATATAAATTATAACTGTAAGTTTACATGTCGATTGAAATAGCTTCCCGTAATTGATGTTAATAACTGAACATTGAGAAGTTACAAATTACACCAAACATCACCTCAATTTTTTTTCTATCAACTATTTATTAAAAATACTTAATGAACTAGATAGGAGAATCGTTAAAACAGCTCTAAAGGAAAAATTATAATGTGTAGGCTGGTTGAAAGACTCTTTGAATTATATTTTTCAAGGTCGTATAAAAATTATTAATAAAAAAATAAATCAAAATCAATATATGAATTTACACAAAATAGACCTTTTTAGTAATGACGTTATATACGCCAAATAATAGGCAACCACATAGTGCACAATGTCATGAAGAATTTCTTAATATTTTTAATAGATCGATTTTCAACCTTATGTACTTTGGATAAGTGCCAAAAGAATTTCTTCTTTGTTATGACCTTAAGTATCTATATGCCCGCCTATGACTCAAAGGTGTTTTTTAGCACAAGCATTTATTCCTTTCCTTGTTTTTTTTATCTTGTCAAATTTTGATGTAGGACTTGGGTTTACGAGATATTGTAACTTCTTTGAATATGTGACAGTAACTTTTTTGTTTATACTATGTTTAGAGCTTGTCATTTTTAACAAAAATTGAAATATGTTGAAATACCAAAAGGCTTTAAAAATTTTAATCAAGATATACAGGCTGTCTCGCTTAATATACGACGCACGTAAAAAATCTTTATATGTCTTTTGTTGCATTTTTTGAGGCCTTTATGCTCGTAAAAATAAATTTGAGATCCATGGCCAACTTTGTGAGAAATTATAAAAAAAAACGGAAAAGTGCCGAAAGTTTATGGTCGTCTAACTTTTAAGAGATAGAGAAAACTTATTTTAATAAAATTTCATGGCAAAATTTATATCTTTCACCTGGCATAAACAAATTTTGGAACTATCGTATATAAATTGCTGCGCCCCCTATACGGCAAAAAAAATTGTCATCGAAATAGGCTATGGCCACAAAATAATTGCTTGTTTCTTTCCTCTTTGATGCGATATACTACATGTCGCCTTTATCTTTTATATTTATTACATTTTTTTATAACTTTGATACCTATAAAAAAATATAAAAATTTTAGTGTTGCTTATGTTAATGTAGAAATTGTTTTCAACACGCCAAATATGAAAAAATAATAAATATAACTACCTACAGAATTAGAGCTTTCCTATTCCTCGAACGACATACACTTTTTTTATTTTATAACACCTTCAAAATGATAGTTCTTCAAATAACAATGAACTGTAACAGTTTTCAAGCCAACAGTTACGTATAAACTATAACAATAAACAGTTTGCCAAATGATGACATTACTGAGGTCAAAGGGGTAACATATTTAATTTAATAAATATAAAAGATAAAGCCGACATTTAGTATATCGCATAAAAGAGGAAAGAACACGCAATTATTTTGTGTACATAGCCTACTTTGATGAGAATTTTTTTTGCCGGCGTAGAGGGCGCTGCAATTTACAGACGATAGTTCCAAAATCTGTTTATACCAGGTGAAAAATATCAATTTTGCCATGAAATTTTATTAAAATAAGTTTTCTCTATCTCTTAAAATAAAAAAGTTAGACGACCCTAAACTTTCAGTACTTTTCCGGTTTTTTTATGATTACTCACAAAGTTGGCCATGGATCTCTAATTTGTTTTTACGAGCATAAGGGCCTCAAAAAATGGAACAAAAACATATAAAGATTTTTGACGTGCGTCGTATTAATATACGACGAGATACATAGGAGTGGCTCTCTTATAGTAGACCGTCTGTATATCCATTTGGAACTACAAAAGAAGACAATTATTGCAATAAATTAAAATTCAATACAAAACACTATAACAACTACAATCGTATTATTGCTACCATTTTTAATGAATAATTTAACATAATTAAGTTATATAATAAATAATTATGTGTTACTACCCGCCCATTCTTCTTAGTTATTCTTAGTTTTCTTCCACCTGAATCCAAGTTTTTTAATAATGGTGTACAGGAAGGTACGTTTTCCCGAAAAGTCGTATTCCGCACTTATTTTTTCTTATAATTGCTTCAGAATAACCCGACATTTGTTCCCATTCTGGTATGTGGGTTTTTGTACATACTTTTTCCTTAGAAGAACTAAATTTTATTCACCATCGCCATTGCTTAGTGCTTGTAACTCGACACTTTTACTTAAAATTTTCCCTATAGGGGCTAAAGTTACTTTTGTAACAACTGCAACACGGTTTTTTAATTGTATTTTATTTTCATTTGGAAAAATTGTCATAAAGTAATTATACACATTAAACACGATAAATTTTGACTGGGAATTAAATTCCTTTCTTTTATTTTTCACCTCCATTGATTTATTTTAATAGAAGCTACACAAAAATGCACAGGATGATACACTTCGATCCTTCGTCCTGCCGCCAATGCTTTCTACCTCGGATGTCGAATGCAGTTAATTCTCAACAAATATTGTACGGAAGCAGAGGATAGCGACAAAATAAAACTCAGACAATTGATATTCGTTTAATTTTATTGAATTGTTAAATGTGATATATGAGTAGATACGGTGTTTTACATGTTTTCTTAGAATATATAATAACAGTAGTGTTTAAGTTGTTTGAAATAATTTCTACGTTATTAATTATTGAGTAAGTAATTATATACAGGGTGATTCATTAATAATTGTACATACGGCAGCTGGATAAACCTGGGCTGAAAATATGAAGAATTGACACATAACACGTAGATAAAATATGGCTCCTTATGAAGCTACAAGATGTTTTATTTAAAATTTTTAAATGATTTAAATGATAAACTCAACTGTAAAAACTAATTCAACTAATTCAATGCAATTCCATGAATGAAGACACCGACTTACAATATTAATACTATGAAAAATAAATTACATAATAAAATAAAAATGATTGTGAAGTCTTATGTTTAACTTTAAAATTTTCGAGAAATAATGACTACCACTATGAAAGATTGGAATTAATTGCATAGAAAGTATTGAAGAATTGGGAAATTATACCAAAATAAAGATTCCGCCAGTGGCGTAGAAGTTAGGAATGGGAAACTGCCCCTCTGCCCTTGTGATTTTTTAATATGTTCCAAACTTTATGCCAAGTATGATAAATATCAAACAGGGTTAAAGTAATGAGCAAAAAATTAATTAATTTTTTTTTTAAATAAAACGCCATGTAACTCCGTAAGCGTTATGTGTCAATTTTTCATATTTTCAGCCCAGGATTATCCAGTCAGCGTATGTACAATTATTAATGAATCACCCTGTATATTTAAAATATCCACTATTTCTTAGTGCCCCAGATTTCACTGGAAAATTCTGTGTATGGTAACAATACATACTTCGAGTGGAAGTGCACTGAAATGTTGCTCTGAGTGCTCTGTGCAAAAATAGTTGATCAACTCCCTCCTGGCTTATGCTACCTTTTGCATAAAAGTATAAAAGCTGTAAGCAGTTTTCATTATCTGTAATAAAAATTATAGATTGAGGTATGCATTTTTTATATTACCTAGTACTAACTTAATTTATTTGAATTTTAATGGAAATATACATGTTATATTGAAATTTTTTAAAAATTGTGTATTGACAAATATAATTCCGATCAATACAAGAGTATTAGATGTTTCCGAAGTAGTCTAGAGTATTTCTTCTAATTATTTTATAAAGAAAGATTATATTAACACATGTCCATTAATACAGGGCGTTAATTAAGTATGTACAATAAATACAGCAGACGATTATTTGAGTGACTTTAAGACAAAAAGTTCATATAAACATTGGTCCGCAGATCCTTCATTTTGAAGACACGGGGTGTTAAACTTATGTAAAAAATTGCTATTTTGTAAATGCCTTAAATAGCCTTTATCAAATTTTTCGTTCTTTATTTATTTTGAATAAGAAACAAACAGGTTAGAAACAACCTAATGACTTGTTTCTAGAAGAGAAAAAGAAATGTATATACATGCACATATCTGACTTACCTAATTAAAATAGAAAATAAAATAAATACAAAATAAAATTCAAAATAAACTGCAGCAAAGGAGCAGCCGGGAAAATAGAACCAGGACAATCAATTTCAAATAAAATCTATATTTCGGATAACTCTATTAAATGTTATTAAGGTAGTACCAAAAATGTCTATAGATATTCTATATACAGGGATGGCCAGAAGTACGGAATAAAATGTATATCTTTTGAATGAGTTATTTTTTTTTAAAACGCCGAAACACGGTAACTGATTTTGATTTCTTCCCATTTTTCGGTTATATAATAATTAATTTTTCTTCAACCCCCTAACCCCCAGCTACCCCTACTTCTTTTTCAAATGGAAACATAAGGCATTAGGGGGCTCGTTGAAAAGCTTATAGAAAACCGAATCCAGCCATACCAAATAAACAAGTTTTACTTTTTCAATAGCAAGGTTTTTAGGGTTGTATAAAACACCTACTTAAAATAGACCTAAATAAAATTTAATTATCTTCAGTGTTATCCTCCATGAATTTGCACAAAATAAAATAAAGAATTTGAAACTGTACCTATCATTGCTAACGCAAAAAAAGATATATTTTTTATGTTGCATTTTTTTGATACCACTTACTTGCCAGGCTTTCTGGTTAATTTTTCGCTTTAGTTGTAAATTGGAGTTTGAAACGGTACTATTGTGTCAAAATCAAGTTATTTACTGAATTGCATTGGTATTGTCGGAAAGGCAACGCATCGAAATACTGATATTGCTTGGATGTGGAGACAAAATAAGAAGTCAGGCTGAAGTGCGCGATTTATTTAATGCGAAATATCCCGAAAACCAAATCTCGCAAGGGACAGTTAGTAAAATATTTCACAAATTTGAGGAACACGGTACAGTACAGACTTTGTCCAAAACTGGACGGGCACGTGCTTTGAATGAAGAAAAGAAAATAGACAGTGCATTAGAACTTGTTGAAAATCCTCATACTTCAACTGTTTCATTGGCCCGCATTCACGATGCTTCTCGAACTGCAATTCGAATGTTTCAGAAACAAGAGAAATACCACCCCTATAAGGTACGTTCTGTCCAAGAGCTTTTGGAAGACGATTATGATAGGCGATTACAACTTTGTGAAGAAATGATGAGGCGGTGTGACGAAAATAATGGTTTTCAAGGAGACGTACTTTTTTCGAATGAAATAATTTGGTTCCATCAAGATGGCGCTCCCCCACACTTTGGTATTGATGTTCGAAGATACTTAGATGAAATGTTTCCAAATCGCTGGATTGGTAGACGGGGTACAGTTGAATGGCCGCTAAGATCCCCCGACTTAACACCCCTGGATTATTTTCTTAGAGGATATTTGAAAGAAAGAGTCTACCAGGACAGACCGGATAATATTGAGAATTTAAAGAACAAAATTAGGGCGGAGATGCATAATTTACCAGCTGAAGTCATTCAGAATGCTGTGGACAGCATTACTATCGTCTTTGAGAATGCCTAATAGTGAATGGAGGACATTTCCAGCATTTGCGACATTGAGTTTATTTTTGTAAATAATCTATTTGTTACAATTTCTAAATGAAAAAATACTTGTTTATTTGGTATGGCTGGATTCAGTTTTCTATAAGCTTTTCAACGAGCCCCCTCATGCCTTGTGTTTCAATTTGAAAAAAAAGTAGGGTAGCTGGGGGTTAGGGGGTTGAAGAAAAATTAATTATTATATAACCGAAAGATGGGAAAAAAATCAAAATCAGTTAACGTGTTTCGGCGTTTTAAAAAAAAATTAACTCATTCAAAAGATATGAATTTTATTCCGTACTAGTGGCCATCCCTGTATATGTACACATATTACTAATAAGAGTACTAGAGCTGATATGAAAAATTAATTATGTTGAACGCATATGGTGGTCAGGTATATTTATATTTATCTGAGACAATAGATAAGGAGCGTCATAACCTCCATTCAGCACTTTATGTAAAAATTTTAATTTTCGTGTAATTCTCCTATTTTCTAACTTATATATCTTAAAGTGTTTATGCAATGGATCATAGGAAGCAAACCCGGGACTAATATAATATTTTTTGTAACAGATACTTTATAAATTTGGTTTGGATTTATTCAAGAGCTTCCCTAATATACTGTTTTGAAGGGTCTCAAATAATAGATCCATATTCTAAACGACTACGAATGAGAGTATTAAATAAATATAAAATAGAATTAATATTTTTAAAGTCAACTGTTACTCTATTAATGAAACCCAAAAGTTTATATGAAGCATTAGTTTAATTCATTCACATGGTTTTTAAAACTCAAATTAGGTTGAAAGTTAATTCCTAGATCTTTAAAGTCATAAACTAAAAATTATTATTTACTGTATAGACACTGTTATTTGTAGTGTTAAGGGGCTAGTTTAACCCCAACTTGATTAGATTTATTAAGTCCGGTGGCGTTCCGAGCGGTAACTTACCGAATATTTTTGACAAAAAAAATGTACGCCACAGACTTTTTCGTAATTTTTATATATTTTTTGAATTAAGCAACTAAAAATACAACTTTTTTGTCTCTTGAATGTTTTTCGTATGTTGATTAATTTTTGTAGAAAAAAAAATAAAATCCACTTAATTGCATATCCCTGCATCATACAAGAAAAGTTTCTTTTGTAAATTATAATTTTTTTTATAATTTTTTATTAATAACATGTAACATCTAAATAACATAAAGTACAAATAACACTGCCAAATTACAAAGGGCAAAGGGTATTTAAGATATTTACGAAATAGCAATTTTTTTACATCCTGTATCTTGAAAACGAAGCATTTTGTCTTAAAATCACTCAAATAATCGTTTGTTGAATTTATTGTACATACTTAATTAACACCTAAAATATAAATTACTAAAGAAACACCCTGTAGTATGTTTCAGAATATACGGGGTCGCTGATATGTATGGAAACGGTCGATTATCTCCTAAGGTATCTATCGAAAAAACAATGAAGAGAATTCTTTGAAGTTATGCTAAATGTGGTGGAAAATCAAATTAATTCGACACAACAGAGGGCTTAATATCATAACATGAGTCGATATTCCATTCAAAAAATTTGTAAACGGGAAAAATTACATCCATATAAAATTCATTTGTTACAAGAATTGAGTGAAGACTATTGTGATCATATAATCGAGTCCTGCAAAGTTGTTATGGATTGTGTTCTGACGAATCTAATCTACATTACGTAAAACTGACAGAAATGTAGGTATTGGTTAGACCAAAATCCACATTGGATGGAAGAAGTTCACACTCAACGACGACAGAAAGAAAATGTTTCGTGTGGGATTATTGGTAGACACGGCATAGAACCCTATTTTATAAGCGGAAATATGACTTATGAACGATATTTATTACTTTTGCCTGAACATATTGTTTCAGAGCTTAGACGATTATTCTCAAACTAACAATCCCAATTTACCGGCAGAACAAATATGGTGTGAACATGATGGGGCTAGTCCACATTTTGAATGTGTGGTACGGATATATCTAGATGAAACTTTTCCTGATAAATGGATTGAGCGCCGAGAGGAAATTGAATGGTCAGCTAGTTCCCCCGATATGACTCCGCTTGACTTTCTTCTGTGGGGTCACATAAAAAACGTATTCTACAAAAATAGGCCGCAAAATATCGAACAGTTGTAGGAAAGGATAAGGTTTGAAATGTCCACCCAACACCTTTTTAGATTCATTAAAAAATTTAGTTCAGTGAGGTAAATAGTGAACACTTTCAGCTCCTTATAAAATAGAATTCCAAAGAAAATATTTGTTATTTAATAAAAAAATAAAATAAATAAATCTCATTTTTCTTTTCTTGCATAACTATTGTTTTCATAAAATTTAAAATATTCATGACATTCATAAAAAAATACGTTTTTCAAAATAAATATTCATGATTTGGGTCCCTTTTTCTTTTATAAATTTGAGAGTAGTCAAAAGTTACTTTCAAAGTTTGATATCTGGAAAATTTAGGTACATGATGTGCTACATGAATTTTGTTTAGAATTTCGAGAACATTTGAAATATGGAATAATATACAAGGTGTTCTATTAAAGGAAAAACAGCTTTATTTCGTCATGACTTTTTGACTAATTCTGTATTCTTCATTTTTCTTTATTATAATATATTTCGCAAACGCTAAAACTTTTGTGTTTTATGATTTTTCGACAGTTGTCTTACTTTAGGATATAATCGACCGTTTCTATACATATCAACGACCTTGTAGATGACAGAACAGAACAATTCAAATTTCTGCTCTGGATTTTCGAAATACTTATAGAATTATAGCCAAAGAGTTTTAACAACTATTGGTGTTTTTTACTTACTAGTAGAACAGTTCTATTATTAATGATGTGATAATTTGCAGCCCTTATATGAACACCTTCCTGACTCCTCATCATCATAATCAGGAAATCGTTTCGCAAATGTCGCAATTGCGGTAGGTACCATTTGCACTCGGAATATATAGTCTCTGCTGCTGCTTCTGACTAAAAATAATTATAAAGGGTGTTTCTTAGTACTACGAAAAACTTTTCCTCGCCAAAAATTACGAGGGAATTTTCCATATAAATTTATTTTCCAAAACATCGAAGTTACGGAATGTTTTTGTGAGAAATAAAATAAAAACTGAATTTTTGACCCGCCTCTTTAAAGGGGTATAACTTTGATAACAGTCGTTTTTGAAAATAAGTTTATGTAGAAGAGTGCCCTACTTTTTCGCAATATTAAAGAAACACTCTATATAATATGTGACTATGTTTAATTGCTTAGAGTATTCTTTTAATACATACCTGGTCCATCATTACCTGCGCGGGAAAGCCATAAACCAAAAAAGATTCTGTGAGTACACACAGTATTGTTGCAAATATTCTAATTTGATCCAATAAACCCGATTCGCTGAAAAAGATTATTTATAACAAAAATCATTGAGGTGAATGAAAATATATTTGCAAGTAATAATTCTAAGCTGTGAGGCCAGGCGCATTGGTGCTATGTTTCATACTGAGAGGACAGTTCATTATTGGCACTTCTTATTTTTTTCAAATGGGAAATGTGAAATATAATGGTCAAGTGGTTAATTTTGTTTAAAAATGACCGCTTGCGTATAATGCCAGACGTTATTGCAATAACTAATAACTATGGAAATCAGATGGTATAGATTCGAAAAAAGAAAAGAAATGTAGTGATAATTTACGTTAATCATTATTAGTCCCGATGTTTTTTACTACATAAATTAATATAAATAATAATATCTGTTTCAGTGTTTTAGTTTGTCAACATTTGTGGCAAAAAAGGAAATCGAATAGTTGAAACCTTTGAATTTACCTATTTTACTCCAGTCGAATTAGAGTTTGAACGTAAAAAAATAATTAGTAGACATTTTATTACACTTTATGACGCGGAAGTGTATGTAGAATGATAATATCAAAAAAGTAACTCGAGAGAAGTAACGCTAATTTGGAAAATTGCAAATTTACGTGTTTTTTCACATTTTTACTGCCCACGAAAGTCTAGACGACCTATCGGAAAATTAGTCATTTTATGTTCTGGGCAATTAATTACCTACAATTTAAGGTATCTAAAGGCATATTTCACCAACTTGTTAACTGTAAAATAAAGGTTGAACCCTTTCTTTAATTGTCTCCAAAATCCCGGTCTGCATACGTCCAATAGTTAATTGACAAATTAACGTTATAAAAAAAACTGTCTTGGGAACAAAGAGACGTAGGTGATTTCTCTTTTTTTTAATTCCCGTAAAAGTAAGCTCTATTTAATGCAAAAAGAGCGAATTCCCGAGCGACTGTTGCCTGACCCTGGAACAATTTGTTTATAACGTCCTACTTTTTTAGTTATAAAGGGCTACTTAATTTTAACTTTTTGAAATTTTTCTTTTTCGATGCGCTTGTTTGGATCAATTATATATCTACGATATTAACTTAAACAATTATTTGCAAAAAACAAGCAAAAAATCAATTAACAAATACCTTGAGCAACGATTTCACGGTCAATCAATTCGGCCTTTGGCGCACATGTTAATCTTTACATTGACTGTCTTTTCCATAAATTTCATCAATATTCATCGCTTTTTGCAATAATAATTTGCAATTTTCCAAAACTGATATTTCCGTGTTTGAACATTATTTTACAATTAACAAATTAGTGAATAATGAATTGTAGGTAATTTAATTGCCTAAAGCGTAAAATAACTAATATTCAGATGGGTCGTCTAAGTTTTCAGGGGCAGTAAAAAAAGTGAAAAACACATACATTTGCCAATTATTTGCAATTTGCCAACTTAGCTTCACTTCTTTCGAATTCCATTATTGATATTATCATTCTACATAAACTTCTCCGACATTCAGTGAAAGAAAATGTGTAGCAATAATTTTTCAAGTTTTCAGGTTTTATGATCTAATTCGACTGTAGTACTTAATAATGCTATACATTGTACCTTATATTCAGGTTTAATCGATAATAAATATATTTGACACAAGAGTTTGTGCAATTTGCTGAAAATTACATTTCTTCAACAGTATTAAAAATAAAAAACCGTTGTTCTGTCTTAAAATTGTCACTTTTTAAAAATTAGATGATATAATTAGCTTTAAAGAAATCTTTGTTACAGATAATACCATAATTTTTGTAAAATAATTAATTTCTTCGACAGGAAAAAATATTTTTTCTTTGCATAAAGCAAATGGCCCCAAGTAGAGAAATCGAGAGGATTGAGATCCGGGGATCGAGCGGGCCAATTCTGTGGTCCTCGACCTATCCACTGATTTGCATATGTTTCAGTTAAATGCTGACGTGCTACTTGACTAAAATGGGCGGGAGCCCCATCATTCATAAAAACCATATCCCTTCTGACGCCCAAAGGAACTTCCTCCAGCAGTACGGGATGCACTTCTCTTAAAAATTGAACGTATGCCTCACCATTTAATCGAGGAGGTAGAAAATGAGGCCCAATTAAATAATCCCCAATAACTCCGACACACACGTTAAGAGAAAACTGTTCTTGATGGTTAGTTTCGACAATAGCGTGAGGGTTTTCATCAGCCCATATGTGGTAATTATGAAAATTAATAATCTTGTCCCGAGAAAAACTACATTCGTCTGTGAATTCGATCGTCTTCAGAAAGTCACGATTTCTTCTTATCATTTCCAGCATCCAATTGCAAAATTCAAGACGGTTCGGAAAGTCTCGCGGTAACAGTGCCTGTACTCGTTGCAGATGGTAAGGGTATAAGAGAAGTTCCTTTAAAATTCGAAATACCGTCATATGATCAACATTTAGCTGGAAAGCAATCTTTCTAGTACTGGTAGTAGGTTGTTCTTCTATCAAATTAAGTACTGCTGCCTCAAGCTGTGGTGTTCTTACTTCTCGATGGCGACCACAATCCTGCGTTCTTTTGTTGAATGAACCATATTCACGTAATAGTTGATGAAGTCGGGCAAATATTCTATGTGAAGGATGCTGCCGTTGAGGATACATTTCAGCTTATCTTGTAGAAGCTTCTAACCCATTCCCCTGCGACAGACCGTAAACGTAATGCATATCAGCCATTTCCTCATTTGTGTATGCCATTTTAATAACAAGTGAATTATTAAAGTAACAAATTAAGAACAGAACAACAATACACAATTACTATTACTTCAATTTCAAAAATTTACAAACTGACAGCTTGATTCCAATTTAATTGTCAGTATCGCTAATAGCGGCCTACTAGATAAATTAGTTTCGTATTTTCGTTTTATGGCGATATGTATCTTGTTCGTAAAATAATTTTTTGCTGCGAACTGGTTTATTTTGGGCAAAAAATTCAAGAGACATTTTTTTTTAGAATGAAACAGGCTATCGGAAATAAATTTTTAAATGGTAAACAAATAATAAGACAAAAAGTTACGTTGGAAATAAATTTTAGGGGTTGCGTTTTCCACCCCTTACAACCATGGGGTAAACCAAATAAATTACTGGCTAAGTGTCTTTTTGGTAGTAGAAAATGTCAGGTTAATTTCAATATTGTAACTTGTTTAGTGCTTGTGAAAAAAATTGTTAAACAAATTTTATGTACCCCCTTTAAGGGGGAAGTTTCTTTATATGAAAGATCCTATCTTTTTTTCGATGAGGAATCACCCCCTTAAATGTTTTACACTTATTTAGTTACACCCTGTATATGTCACTTGCGATTTCTAATTAATTTTAATTATGTTTTTCCCATAACACCTTTGGCATGTACTCTATTTGACCAAAATGATAATATTTTTATATTTAAATTTCTGAAATTTATTCTGTTCTAGTAATCCGACTCTGCTAATAATTCATAATACTAATACTAACAATTTTTTTTAATCAAATATTTTTTTAGTTTTATAACAATTATTTCAACCTTTCTCTTCACCGTGTTGTATTCAAGTAGAATTTTAATTTAACTTTTTAAATTGCTCTCAATACTCTGATTTCATCTCAATATATATGCTTATATGTTGCTTACTCCAATTTACCATTAATTAATTTTTTATAAACATTTTTATGGAAAGAAAAACATTTTTTTTAGTTTTTTGCTTATAAAACCTAAACTAACAAAGTAATCTGAATGCTCAAAGAGACAATTTGAGTAGTATTATACTTCTACTTTTAAAATCCGCTTGAAAAATTAAACTTGGACCACCATCAACGCATCCAGAACGTTTGCAAAATAATGCACCAAAAAATTCAAAGTGCAATTGTGCCAAAACTAATGGTCCGACAGCGACAGCTTTGTGTACACTTAAAGTACATATAATTTACAACTCTTGTGCACAGGGTCAGCTCTACAACTCGGAAAATGGCGGAGTAACGAATTTTTAAAATAACGCTAAATTTTCAGATTTTTCCGGGATTTTTTCGTTTCAAATTATCCGATCGGATCGATCGACCTCTCGTTTTATTCGTATTTCGATTCTCTACAAATTTAGGTTTTATAAGCAAAAAACTATATAAAAATGAGTTTTTCTTTTAATAAAAATGTTTATAAAAAATTAATTAATGGTAAATTGGAGTAGGAAACACATAAGCATATATCTCTTTTACATGATGTCCGTTTGCAGCTAGTATTTTTTTAAAAAATCACTGATTTAATGCTCTATTGATTGGCCTAATAACTAAAGGTCCAGTGATGTGTTTTTTGTTCAACTCTTTGTAAAAATTAAATTCAGTCTTTTGCTCTGTTTCATACCAAAAATACTTACCCTACTGTTGAATTATACATAGTTATACATATCATGGAAATGTTAGTCACCATCAACAGCGCAATTGGCACACTTAATAATGTATTTAAATCGTCGACGTAACTAGAAAAAAACTGAATTATTTTTTTGTCATTAATAAATAGAAATGAAACAGAAAATATTGAACATCAAATTTTTCAGAAATTTAAGGCGACGGATTGATTTCTTTCGCCTTTCAAGGATCAAGACTTAAAGTATATATTATTATCTTTTTAAGCAATCTTTAATAGGTATTAATGGGTATTAAGAAAAGTATGTTGGCATTAAACTGTTGTAGTTGAAGTCGCCTAAGTTGTTCTGGTTCTACAGTTCAGAGTATAATTTGTGTGAATGTATAATGTTGTATAATTTTATGTTCTGTATAATTTTTGTTAAATTGTTTTAATGTTGTATATAGGATTTACACATTGTACTTTTCTTATAACAATACCAACTGTTTTACAGTTCAAACTCAAACTGAAAATTGACATACCACATTTGTACGAATGTATGTAAACAGTGGTCAAATAAATATCTATCCATCTATCTATCTAAGTCTCAAAAAATTGGAATATTTCCATGAACCTGAAAATGGAAATGAGCATTTGAAAATTATTATCCATTTTTGTATTATTTATCGGGTTCGGATCAATTTGAGTATTCATAATATGTATCTGGAATGAAAATCAGTACAACTCCACCCCCAAGACACCCCTAAAATATGGGTTGAAAAACTAAAATATTCATATCTCAGGTTATTACGAGATTGTTTACACGTTTTTTTTTTATAAATAATTCTATATGGTTAAGAGCATATGTGTAGAAATCCTCAAGGCACTTTCATTCCGAAATATTCCTAAAATAGGGGTAGAAAAACTAAAACATTTATATCTCAGATTGTTATGAGATTATCCACCTGTTTTTTTTTTTGTAAATTTTATTCTATACGGTTAAGAGCATGCGTGGGAAATTATTTTAATCATTTCCATCTCGAAACACCCCCAAAATAGAGGATATATAGGTAAATATAAGGTGATTTGTAGCGTCGAGTTTCGGACTAAAGATACATGATAGTGAGATTTGGCTAATCACGTAACAACCTGAGATATAAAGTTTTAGTTTATCAACCCTTAATTTGGGGGTGTCCGGGGGTGTAATCGTACTGATTTCCATTCCAGGTATATGTTATGAATATTCAAATCGATCTAAATCCAATAAATAATAAAAAATTAATAATTATTTTCAAAAGTACTCGTTTCCATGTTTATGGAATTATTCAATTTTTTGAGAATTTGCGTCCTTGATATCTCGAAAACTGTTAATTTCCGGACTTTGGGCCTATGAACACTTTTGATCAGGAGGGTGTCAAGTACAACATATCAATAATTTTCAGTGTAAAAATTAGCTTTTATAAGGGCCTGTGCAAAAATAATGTATAACATAATGGCAGTTTTGCAATCGATCGTTTGTCAAGAAAATAAAAAGTAATGATAAAATTAAATTGATTTTTTCTACAAACGTCAAAAAATGACAAGGTTTGCGCATTGACAACAATATGCGAAGTGGCACTTTTTTTCGGATTCTTACGTTACCATGACACCGTGCGCGAAATACGTCGCGCACTAGGGTGCGAAGTATTTCGCACACTGCATGTAAATTAATAAAAGTTTTGTATTTCAATCTTTGAAAAAATGAAGCAAAACTCCAAATTATTATTTATTTTTAAATGAATAACAATTAAATACTTTTAAAATAATGATAGAATTTTACAATAACTTTAGTTATTATTTACAATATTAACATTAATCGTACAACCAGTACACGAACCAATATTTATTCCTAAACCAGATAATTCAGGTTCAGCTCGGGATATTGGGGTTTTGGGGGTTGAAACACTACTAATTTTTGAGGTAGAGGTGATACCATGTGATCCTGAAATTTCACAATCTAAAATTTTATTTGATATTTGAATCTTATTATTGATAGAATCTTCCACGTATCCTTCGGCCACGGTGGAAGATTTCCATCCCCCGTGTCTCTTCAAACTACATATATCACCCCCAGCATTAGCAAGAAGTGTGGCCGAGGTTCTCCGAAAACAGTGACCTGTGTAAGCATCAGAATTTGGTAATTTTAAGTATTTTGCTATTAAGCTGGGCATCCCTCCAATAGAATTTATTCCAACAACTTGGTTAATGCATCTCTTATTTTGATACTTCAAAAACAATCGGCGACTGCTAGCATAACTTGGACGAAGAGCCACGTATTTTCGGTAAATATCGATATAATCTAGATTCGAAACCGTAAAAATTCGTTGTATGTTCGTTTTTGTATCCGGTACTTTCACAATCAAGATGGAACCTTTATCTTCTATGTCATCGACACTCATTTTAGTGAGTTCTTCACGGCGGCAAGCACCAGAAATACCCAATATTAAAACGACCTAAAAGGATATCGATATTTAGTAATTTAAAATACATATAAAACAATGATTAAAAATATACCTTAGCCATCAAATATATTTCATCATCTGCCTCTCTTATGAATTGATTTACTTCTTCTCGAGTTAATACCTTGGATTTCTTAGGGTTGTGTCCAACTGACAATTTTTTCAAATATGGAACCA